ACTGAGGTAAGGCCTTAAGGTTTTCACAGCCTCTGCTCCCAATCCAAAGCCAAGGCCCCTAAGGGACAGAGGGCCTTTAATTTGGGAGCTCGAGTGACATGTGTTGAACAGAGCAGAGGATGGCAGCAGCTCTATCCCCAGGTCCTCTGCTCCCTGACAAGGCCTCCGCTCAAGTCCAGCCTCGCCCCATCTCCCAGCTGCACCTGGAGACAGGCTCACTAAGGCCTGTCCCGAACGCCACACTGACAGCACCGTGTGCGTCACGTGTGTTCAGAGAACCTGCCTGCTTGGTGTGCAGCCCTATTTTTAGCAAGCACCAAAAAAACCAGTAACTGTATCACAGCACCTCATTTGTCCCTATTTGTTTACCAGGCTGGGTCCCACGTTGGCCAGGGGGCCAGGCAAGGGCAGGGACCACATCTCATTTGTCTCTACACCCACGGGGCCTGGCACGAAACCAGCATTCGCTATGTTTGCTGAAAGAATGAGGTTTTAATTGTCCCCTGTGACAGGGCCGAGAGCAGGTGTTCCTCAGGCGAAGTGCTGTCGACACTAGGGGGCGGGCCAGAGGGTCTGCAACTGCCCCCGAGATGGGGTGCTAGGCACACGTGGGGGGCAGCACTCTGGGAGGATGCAGAGGCGCCCCCGCGGGCTCGTGCATGCTGTGTGCACACTCACACGTGTGTGCCTGAGTGGCACCGGCAGCTTTGTCAAAGGGCTGCCACCCCCAGAGCTGAAGGATCCGAGGAAGAGACTCTACAAAACAATAAGCAGTGGTCGGGAAGAGTCTGCCGTCTCGGGGAACGGCAAAGCTGGCGCCAGAGGCCTAACTTCCCAGGACTGGAAGGAGGGATGCAGCAGACCTATTAGGGCAAACCAGAGATGAGCACCCTACCACATCCATCGCCAGGCAGCACACGGGGATCCCACAGTTCTGGAGGTGATCAGGATTCCCAGTACCCATCTGTCTCCCTCAAAGTATTATGAGTTGGGAGAAGTGAGAGTCCACCAAATTCCAAGCATGCACAAGAAATCCAAATCCTCAAGTGTTTGACAACAACACGTCCCCCTGGGGCCTGCAGAAGTCAGGATGTCATAGCACACACATGCACACGTATACACACACACACACACACACACACAATATGCTTGGCTGCCCCTTCCACTAGTAAAAAGATGTGCATGAACTTGACATCTCTAGTCAAGTTTGAAAACCTAGATAGATGAAATGGATCATTTCTTAGAAAAATAGTTTACCAAAACTGACTCCAATAGAAATGGAAAGTGTAAACAGTCCAATCCTCACAGACTCAACAGAGAAAGTCACGCAGAAACAAGCCCCCAAGAAAGCACCACGACCAGAGGTTTGCAGAGAGGACTCTGGCACAGTGTTAAAGACTGTTCTGCTCGGGATACACAAGTTGCTCCTGAGCATAGAGAAGGAACAAAACCTAAAGCTTGACTGCACAGGAAAAAAGGCACTACAGGTGAATATTGCTGGAAGAAAGAACACTTAACTATTACCAACAGATGTCACCACTCTCCAAAAAAACAATACAAGGTCACCAAGGGAGTTTATGTCAAGAATGTTTCAATATTAGGCAATTGATTAATATAAGCCAATACGGTAACAGGTCTCAGAAGAATAAAATCCTATTTCCCACAGATGCTAAACAGCCTTTGATGTGATTCAACTCCCATTCCTAACAAAACTCCCAAGGAAATAAGAATGGATGGTTACCTCCTTAACATAATGTGTGCACCTCAATGCTAAACCAACGCTGACGGACAACCTCCTCCTGGAGGCACCTGATAATGCAATCAGACACAGGAAAAAAACAGGCACATTTTAAGGCATGAGGTCTTACTGTCCACGGTATTCCCAGGACCTAGCATGATCCGTGCTTAACAGTTGGTTGGGTGAGTAACTGAGTAATGGCTCTCATTAATTAAGCACCTCTATTAATAACAGCAAGAGTTTAACAAAATGCTGGTGATGAATCACACCTTGTGCTGATTTAAATGAATTAACCCACTCCAGGTGGGCCATGATCCTTTAAGGTAAGGACCATTATTTCAGCCACTTTACACATAAGCAAACAGAGATCCAGAGCTGTCAAATGATCAAGAACACCCTGCTCGTGTTCACATGTCCACCCTTGCCATGATCCCAGGGTCCTGGCCAATGGCCATGCATGTACCTCTTATCAATGGAGCAGTGAGGAGCCTCCTAGAGTTCTGAGACCAAGCTCTGGAGCATGCTCAGACCTGAGCTCTGCCGTTTACCAGCTGTGCTTTCTTGAGAAGATCACTTTACCTCTCTGTGCCTTCTCACCCTCCTCTGTAAAAGGAGGACGGAAGCAGTGTCTGCCTGCTAGGGTCCCAGGGATATTAACTGGGCTGATCCAGGTCCACCACACACTAGTTCCATAAAATGGGATCTGACCTCCTAAAACTTCCCTGAGTTCTTGATGGTGGTGCCTGGCCCCCTCGGTGGTCCTTCTCCTCCCAGGCTCAGCCCAGCATCAGGGCCAACACTCCAGGTTAGGAGGTAGCGCATCACCAGGTCGCTCCCATCCGGGACCAAGCTGACAAGGTTGGGCTTTGGCTCTCAGAGAGGTCCGTCATGCAGAAGCTCAGAAAAGTGACAGCCAGAGCCCCACCCACGTCTGGGACGACTCATCTTGGCCTCTCAAAGCTCACAATGTCCCTTCTGTTCCTGGGGGCTGACTCTGCTGTCCTAGCTCCTTGCAGCAAAGAGGCATCATTTAACAGACGCAGAGCAAAACTGAACTTCGACTGTGCAGGCTCCACACAGAACTGCCTTCCAAAGAGCACCCTTCGCAAAGGAGTCACTGAAGAGCAGAAACCCGACCAATGTACCCTCTGCCAGGTGATCAAGTCAACATCAACGGTGACAAACTATCGACAGTCATGTGTGTGGTGAGAAAGCACTTAACCTTAGTGGCCTTCTTCCTAGATATCACACAGCCTTATTCTAATCAAGAGAAAAAATAGTTTTTTAAAAAATTAAGGGATAGTCTACAATATACCTAACCAGTACTCCTCAGAACTGACAAGGTCTTAAAAAAAAGAGAACATCTGAATCTAAAAAAGTATAGACTTCAATAATAATGTATCGATATGGGTTCATGAATTATAACAAATGTACCATATTAATGTGAGATGTTAACAATATGAGGAATCCCGGTCCTGGGCAGGTGGGGGTTCTGTGGTAGCTTCACAACATTTCTGTAAATCTGAAACTGTTCCAAAAAATAAAGTTTATTATTTTAGGAAAAAAAAAAAGATTCCAGGGCTTTCATTGTGGTCATTAAGATACCCATCTGGTGGCCACCAAACACCACTTGCCAAGAAAAACTATAAAAAGTACCTCCCACCAGATTTGGCTTGGAAACTATTTCCCCGGAAATCCTCCCCCTCTCCCTAACCCCACCCCTCAAAAAAAAAAAAAAAAAAAGCTAGCTGATTGTGCATCCCAGAGGGGTATAAGCATTAACTCCCTGCAAAACATGGCTTTAATCTTAATGAACAGAAAGACCACTGATGTTAACTGTTAACATGGATCCTTCGCAGATTCTTAATTGTATCTTTTCAAAGCAGAGGATGTGCTCCAGATTGCAGCTGCAGAACCTGGGTCTCCTCTGCTGGCTGATTGTTTCCATCTCCAGTCAAAGCACAAAATTGTTACTAATTGCCATCTCCGGGGATCCAAGGGAGAGTGATACCCACAGTCAGAGCCCAGACCCTCCTCAGAGGTGGCCTGGAAGGACACAGGTGGCAAGTAAAAACTTCTCTATCCAGCTGCCTGACAGAGGCTCTGGGAACCAGGGAGCCACTAAACGACCCCCCCCCCCCCCCGCAAAAAAAAAAAAAAACACACACACATGCAGGGGCTTATTTCCCCAGCAGGGAAACGCAAGCCCCTTCTATGGGCCAGGCCCTCAGCACATCTGGAAGTTACTTGCCCTGCGCCCTGGGGCTGGTAACAAGCATTGAAATCAGGAAGCCTTACTTGGGGTTTTGGGTTTGGTTTTTTTTTTTTTTTTTTTTGGTGTGTGTGTGTGTGTATGTGTTTCTTCCAAGACAACCTGCTAACCAGAAAAATAGTGAGAGGCCAAGGGTGACACCTTTTCTTTCTCCTCCTTCTGATGAAGGCTCCTGTGACATGGTAAAAAGACACCAAGACAAGAGCCTGCAGCCCAGCCTGGGGAAATTCCCAGTCCCCAGCCCCCAAAGACTCAGGGCACTTGCAGGTACAGACTGCAGGGGTTTGGGCAGAAATATAGACTGTCTTCCTGAATCCACACTCCTGCTGCCCCCCAGGCCCCCATCCATTCTGACTTGGTGGGGAAGACCACCTCACAAAGCTCAGAATGGACCTCTTGGGGGCGATTGGCAAACGCAGCAGCAGAGCCCAGAGAGGAAATGGGCCGCCTCACACCACCGAAGTCAACCACCCTCCAGCGCAGACACACAGCCTCTTCCTTAGTTTCAACACAAAGTCCCCAACACCACGCTGGTCGGGGAGGTGGTGGGGCACAGTCTCACAGAAGCCCAGGGATCCCTCGGCTGCTCGGGAGCTCCTTCCCCACCCTCCCCCCTAACTCCAGTCCTCGCTCCCTCACCTCCTCCCTCCAGAGGCAGCTAAATCACTTCCAGTAGGACCCACTGCCGGGCACTAGGCCAACAGAGTCCCTCAGCCTGGGGATCTGCCATCTTTTGCTTTTCGAGCAGCGACCCTCGGGTCGACGTCACAAGTAATTGGAAACCGTCGCCCCTACGGGGCACGAGTGAGCCTACCGCCCCCTAAGGGTGGCGCAGCCACTGTCGCCGCCTCCCCTCCCTCTCACCTGGGTAGGGGCACCCCCTGCTCCAGGCCTCCGAGGAAGTGAGGCGCGTGGAGCAGAGAGGCCGTGTCCCCTCCCCAGGCTCACGCCCCCGCCCGGGCTCGGGGCGGCGGGGGAGCCTCCACCGACCTGGGATGGGATTCAGATAGTCATAGTCGAAGAGGATGGAGAAGTCGAACTCGTCCTGGGGACTGCCCCCGGGCTCGTGGCCTGGGGCGTCCCCGCCGTCGGGGTCGGGCTGTGGCCCCGGGGCGTCCATGGCGCTCGCTCGGGAAGGCGGAGGGTCTCGGGGCTGGGGCGAAGGCAGTCGCGCTGGCTCCGGGGCCCTGGCCGCGGGTGGCGACGGCCGCAGGACGCGGGGGCGAGGAGGTCCTACGGCGGGGTCCAGCTCCTCGCGGCAAGCACGCCGGGTCCGGGGATGGCGCGCGTGGCGCAGCGGGTCCTGGACGCGCCGGGGAGCTGAGCGGCGGCGGCGCGAGCTTCCTGCTCCGGGAGGCACCTGTTGCCGCCCGCGGAGGGGGCGGGGAGGCGGGGACAGCGCGGCCGGCCGGCGGGGGCGGGGCCGCCACGCGGGGCCGAGGGGGGGAGGGGCGGCCCGGCTGCGGAGCCCGGAGGAAGGAGGCCGCCCGCTGGCCTCACTCGGGGCACCGCGCTTGGCCACCAGCCGGGGCCACCGCCGGCAGCTGGGGCGGTCGCTGCCTCCCACCTTCCCTGGGTGAGCGCGCCGCGCCCTGCCCAACCCACGGTCTAGGGAAGAAACCTGCTGCCACTTGCGCTTTTGCGCTGATGCCTGCCCCTGACTTTTTGCTTTCTGTCTTTGGAGGTGGGCACCCACTCCCCTCTGTTGTACACTCTTGTCCCCAGGTGCTCCTGTGTGCCCATAGCTTGCATGATTGCCTACCCCTGACTGCATGTCCCAGGGGCTGGGAAAGGCTCAGATGCTCTGAAGCTCATACCACTTTGCAGTCCCTACTTCTGGCCACCTACCAGTGCCAGGTGCTGGGCCCCAGCATGGACCAGCCACTGTTGCACTGGGTTCTGGGAGTGGGCCAGGCTGAAGGAGATAAGGAGACAGAGGTTGTCACCCCCTCCCCTTTGGGTGCCAGGCTAATAGGATAAAGACTGTAGGCTGGGGCGGCTTCATTCAGTCCCTTGGTGACAGGAAGGGCTCAGTAGGGAAGTGACATTGAAGGAGACTGACTGATGAAGACAGTGAGAGGCAGGAGTAGAGCCAGAGCTGGAAGTGGTCTGGTGCGTGGGCGCCAGAGCAGGGAGTGTGTGCCCTTGCAGGCTGTGGCTGGCAGGGAACCAGGACACCTGGATGCTTGTTTACCACATGAAGTCCCAGGTCCCTCCCTGAGTTTCTGGGTCCATAAATTTGGATTACAGGCTCAGGAACGCGTACTTTTTGGTTTGGGGGATATTTATTTTGATCTTATTGTGCTGGGGATTGAATCCAGGGCCTCGTGCATGCTAGACAAGTGCTCTACCTCTGAGCCCCAGCCCCAGCCTAGGAGCAGCATTTTCAACCAAGCACCCAAGGCGAGTGTTATGAACAGACATGACTGGCCAGCACTACTTGAGAATCCGGTGTCACCCTCCAATCACTTCTAGGAGTCTCTTGACTTTTTTCTGAAGTTGGGGAACAGGGAAGTAGAAAAGACTGGAGCAGTGTCCTCAGCCGCGCGTCAGGATCACCTGGGACACTCTTACATACCTGTGCCTGAGCTGTAATCCAAACCCACAGAACCAGAATGTCCAAAGACATTTAGACTTCAGGTGAATCTGAAGTGCCACCAGAGTTGAGGACCACAAGGTTAGGCAGGGAAGGTCCTCAGCTCCCCAGGGAATGGTGGCTTGATTGCAGTGACTATACCCTTAGCTGGTAAGAAGCAGGATGTATGCTCTGAGGGCTAGCCACCTTAGCCACAAAGGGGATCCACACAAAGCTGTCCATCCTCAGTCCTCCCACGAGTATTTACTAAGTACCTGCCAGGTACCTAGCACAGTTGCAGATCCTGGGGATGCAGCCCTCAGCAAGACACTGTCCCCACCTGCCTTGTGCTTATCACCTGGACCCAGAGAAGCACAGCTGTGAACGGTGTTCTCGACTGCACTTAGACCAGGGGTTTTCATCAGGCTACACATTGCAATCACCAGGGGTGCTGTCAGCATGTTCAACTAGCTGCCGGGCGCGGTGGCGGTGGCTGTGGCGGCACACCTGTGATCCCAGCAGCTCAGTAGGCTAAGACAGGAGGATCACCAGTTCAAAGCCAGCCTCAGCAAAAGGGGGGCGCTAAGCAACTCAGTGAGACCCCATCTCTAAATAAAATACAAAATGGGGCTGGGGATGTGGCTCAGTGGTTGAGTGCCCCTGGGTTCAATCCCTGGTACCCTCCCCTCCCCCCCCCAAAAAAAAAGTTCGAATAAATCAAATTCTACACCTGTGTGATTTTTGTCAAAATGAATCTAACTTTTATGTAAAATCATAATGCACTAATAAAAGGGGGGAAGAAAGTTCAAATACCTGAGCCACACCAGATACCAATGTAATCACCAAGTTTGGGCATGGGACCTAGGTGTCAGGTGTCTGTATTTTGCAAAAGCTCAGCAGATGTTTCCAATGTGGGGCCAGAGTGACAGCCACTAGTTTAGACTCCAGCTCCATTGCAAGGGCCTGGGCCTGGCCCCAGACCTGTTTCAGGGCCTTGAGAAGCACTTTCTGGTTGTCAACGCCTAAAGAAATCTCTTTCTGGTGGTGGGGGGCTGGGGTTCTTATGAAAATCAAAGGGAGATCAGTAGAGGAAAGGGATCAGGGGGCGGGGCCCAGAGGAAGGAAGTGCTGGGGAGAGATATTGGTCAAATTATATTGTTAGATTGTATGCACGTATGAATATGTAGCAGCAAATCCTGTTGGTATGTACAACTATAATGCACCAATTTTAAAAATGGGGGGAGGTGGGAGAATCCCTCTCTTTGTTTCCTAGCCCTAAGGACCCATGTAGTATGTGCATTCTACAAAAATCTGAGAGGCTGACTAAGAAATTTCGATGGAGGAGGGGGTGACTCTAGACAGGAAACTGAAAGCCAAGTATGTGGTAGGAAATGTATTGTGGGTCTTAATGGCAGGGATCCAAGGTCCAGACCCTAGAATTGGGTAAGAAATAAATAGAGGAACCAGCCTCCTGTTCCACCATGGAAAAGGAGAAACACTGGTAGTACCAGTCCACGCCCACCTCCCATCCCTCCCTCCACCCTGTAACGATGAGCTGCTTCTAAGCTGGTGGACACCTGTTGATTCTGCCTGCCTAGGTCGTCCCTCTCTCCTGAGAATAGCTCCCCAGTGGGCTCCTCTGGGAAACTCCTTTTTCTTTGTCTGTTGCATGCTAGGGACGGAACCCAGGGCCTCATGCATGCTAGGCAAGTGCTCCACCACTGAGCTACAGCCCAGTCCTGGGGTGTAACATAATCTTGGTAGAACTATCGACACAGTTGTACCACCCGGCAAAGAAGTGGAATTTTTTCTCCACTGGCCTATGAGACCCACCAAGCCAGGGGCCATGGTGGTGTCATTCCTAGTTCCTGCAGGGTGGATGCGTGGGTGGGTGGCTGGGTGAATGTTTGCATCCTTGTGTGGATGAGCCTTAGGCTTCTCTTTAAGGGTCTCCTCCTTGCCTCGTCCCCTGGCCACCCAATTGCTAGGACAAGAACCTGACTCTTACCACCCCGATCTCCCCTTGAGACACCCAGTTGTAAGATAAAATAATAAAGGGAACATCACTTTACAGCTGCTCAAGCACAGGGCTGGGCATGTGGCTCTGTGGTAAGAGAGCTAATTTGGCACACGTGAGGCCTTGGGTTTAAGTCCCCAGTACAACAAAAACAAAAATGGTCAAGTGCCACAGTGCACTTCCTAAGTGCACTTCAGCCTTAGGAAGGGTTGATTATTCAGGACATTCTGAATAGTAGTCCAACTACCCACCCCAATAATCTAAGCCCCGATTGTCCCTTGGAACAGTGGGTATCTCCTGGAAGCTTCTAGTCTTCAAGCAAACAGGCCCAGAGCAGGCTCTGACCCATGGCAGGGTTTCTGTGGGAGTGAGAGGGCTTCTTCCCTAAGGCCACCAAGAAGGGTAGGGCTGGGGGAGGCATCTTTTCAATTCCAAAATAAATAACTGCGCTCTTAGGAGGAGAATTCATGACCCCTCTACACAGAGGCCACCAGGTTAGGTGGGACGGGCCATAGTGGTGTGACTGGCCTCCTAGCAAAAGCCCTGGCCTAGGAGCCTTCCCAGCCTCCAACACAGCAGTGGGAAGACAGGGGAGCCACTGAGACTGAAATGTCACCACTGCCCAGAAATCCAGCTCCATTCAACCAGCCTCTACCCAAAGCATAATTACAAACTCAGATGACAGCATGGAGGGAAAGAGGAAGTGAGGCAGAGCTTGGACCAGAGACCCTGACGTAGCAGGGAATTCAGGGAAGGCTTCATTCACGAGGGAGGGGATTTTTAAGCTGGGACTCAGAAGATTGAGTAAAAGCCAGGGAATTGTGAGGGGGAGAACTAACAGACAGCTGGTATAGTATGTGCAAAGGTCCTGAGGTGGGAGGCAAGCTGAAGCATTGGAGGGTCTGAAATAAGACTGCAGTCTGGAGGGACTCATTGCCCACAGCTTGGGCCTCCTGTCCACCTGTGGGCATAAAGCTCATTTTATCTACAACCTGGTCTTCTCCCAGGAAATTGGGTTCACATGCCCAAATGCCAGTTCAATGCCTCTCCTTGGCTGTCCAAGAACATCTCACAGTAAGCATGTCCCGAACCAGGCCCTGTTGTCCTTTCCCCCAACGCATGTGTTGTCCTTTCAGGATTCGGTTCTCCCAACAGAAATGGAGGCGTGCTCCGGGAGCCCTCTGCTCTCTCACCCCCACCCGCAAACCTCAGCAGTGCAGGTAGCTCCACCTTCGAAATGTAACATGGCCACGACCCTTCCTCACCCCCCCACCCTGTCCCCTCTATCTTCCCAGTAATCCAAGCCCTGCCGTCTCTCAGCAGGACAAATGCACAAGCCTCGCCCTGGACACGCTGCTTCCACCTCTGCACAAACATCAGCCTCCAGGAGGCCCCTTTAAAGCTCACAGCCCAGGAAGGAGGATCATAAGTTCAAAGCCAGCAAGGCTTCAGGAGACCAGCAAGGCCTTAAGCAACTTAGCCAGAGCCTGTCTCCAAATAAAAAATTTAAAAAGGTCTAGGGATGTGGCTCAGGTAAAGCATCCCTGGGTTCAATTCCAAATAAAAATAAATAAAATTAAAATTCATAGCCCATAAACCTTCCCGTGGCTTCCCATTATTTTTATTTTACATATTTTGCAGTTCTGGGTATTGAACCCAGGGTAGCACTGCTCCACCAGCTACACCCCCAGCTCATCTGGTGACGTTGGGAATAAAACGCACAGGCCTTGCTCTCAGGCCCTG